TATGAAAGAGACTTCCTTCCCTTGTCCTTTTCACCATGTGAGTTTATAGCAAGAAGATGGTTGCCTGTGAGCCAGGAAGCAGACCCAGATCATAGAATGAATCGGCCAGAGCCTTGATCTTGGATTTTTCAGCCTGCAGAACTGTGGGAAATTTCTGTTGTTTGTAAGCCACCGCGTCTGTAGTATTTTTGTTATGGCACCCTGAAAAGACTAAAACAATCACTCTTCCAGGCTAGGCTACTGTTTTATGTTTCTTTGCATTTGTCTGATTAATAGTTATATAATGTTTTAATCCATCAATATTGTTCTTCATATTATTATGGTCAATAAAAGACAAATTCTGAATTTTTGAATGTGTTCTACAAAAGCTACAATAAAAAGACAGAAGCTGTCCCAGGACACTGTTGTACCTTTTCTGATAGTTAATAGATTATCTTGGGCAATAAAATAAGAGAATTTAAGTTTTCTGATAGAATAAAGAAAAGGAGCCCTAGAAATAAATCCTTGCCTATATAGTCTAATGATTTTTAACAAGAATGCTTACAGCCTTAATTGGGGGAAAGTCAGTCATTTTAACAAATGGTGTTGAAATATCTGCATATTTACATGTAATAGAATAAAGTTGAATCCTTGATTATATCACATGTAAAATTAACTCAAAATGGATCAGTGATCTAAGTGTAAGAGCTTAAATAAACTCTCAGGATAGAAAATATAAGGGGAAATTATTGTAACATTGGATTTGGCAATGATTTCTTTGATATGACACCAAAAGCACAGTCAACAAAAGAAAAAATAGATAAATTAAGATTCATCATAATTAAAAACTGCTGTGCATCAAGAACTATCAACCTAGTAAAAAGGCAATACATGGAATGGGAGAAAATATTTGAAATAATGTATCTTATGAGGGATTAATATCCAGAATATGTAAAGAACAAGTCAAAAACATAAAAAGAAATGATCACATTAAAAAATGGGTGAAGGAGTTGAATAGACATTTCTCCAAAGAAAATGTGGAGATGGCCAGTGGGCACAAGAAAAAAAATAATTTTCTCACATCAAAATCCTTAGAGAGATGCAAGTCAAAGCTACAATGAAATGCCAATGAATACTTATTAGGATGGTCATTATTATAAAGAAAAATTCATAACATATGGAATGTCGAATGTTGGTCAGAATATGAAAAAATTGGAACCCTTGTGCATTGCTGGTAGAAATGTAAAATAGTTTAGCTTTTGTGGAAAACAGCATGATGGATCCTCAAAAAATTAAACATATAATTAGTATATTATCCAGAATTTCCAATCTAGATATATTCCGTGAAATATCGAAAGCAGGGACTTGAGAAGATATTTTTACTCCCGTATTTATAGCAGTATTATTCACAATAGCCAAAGTGTGGAAATTCCAAATGTTTATCAACAGATAAATAGAAAAACAAAATGTGTTATATACACATAATAGAAGATTGTTCGTTCTTAAGAATGGATAAAATTCTGTCATATGCTACAATATGGATATGAACTGAAGACCTTATGAAAAGTTCAGTAAGCCAGTTAGAACAAGACAAATAGGTTATGATTCTGTTTATTTTGAGGTGCTTAGAGTGGTCAAATGCATAAAATCAAACTATTATAGGAGGGTGGTTCTTCTGGGGAGAGGTGGAAATGGTGAGTTAATATTTAATGAATAGAAAGTTTCGGCTTGGCAGGAGGAGAATGTTCTGGAGTTAGATGGTTGTGATGGTTGTACAACAACATAAATGAACGTAATGCAGGCCACAGAAGGGGATATGATAGACTAAAAGAGATTATAATATAAGTAAAGATTAAATATATATGATGAGATGATAAATTATGGTAAGGATATTGTATTATTATGTCAATGACAATATATTGCCAATGATATTTATAAGGATATTGAGTTGACATAAATATATAATGCACTTTGGGTATAGTCATAGAAGATTGAAAAACACTTTTAAATTCAAATGTATTAATTTTCTGACTATATTATTTAAATTGAAATTTTAATAATTCAAATTAGTGGTATGATTTATACATATTTTTGAAAAAGCTAAAAAGTACTCTCATATTTCAGGTAGAAAGATGCCCTTATTGGTAAAACGACCTCAAAAAAATTGCCTTTTGATAAGTTTCTACGTTTTCTACCTTTCCTCATTTTAACTGCCATTATTGGTCTTAAATGGAAAAAAATGAAGGAATTTTGGCATAGAGCAGAAACTGCAAGTATGGGGTAAGTAAACTTATTACTTTTTATGCTTAATATTATAAATGTATTATACTATGGGAAGAATTTGACTGTAATTCAGAATATTACAAATAGGGATATTGAGATGGATTAGGTTAATGTTTAGAAATATTGAATAAGAAGATCTCAGTATATGCCAAATCTTTTTTTTTTTCTTTCACATTTCATGCAGTTAGATTTCCTAATCATTCTTACAAGGCCAAGAACAATTAAAGCTACTCAGTAAATCCTCAGGGCCTTTCACATAGAAAGTTAAGTTTTCTATAAATGTTTTAAGAAGTTCTGTTGACTTCCCAAGAAACACCATTTTCCTTGCATTGACAATAAGTTGTGCCAAAGAGATAAAAAAAGATAGTCATGGAGGCAGATATTGTGCTTAGAATATGTAGAAGGTAAGAAAATAGATGTCACAGAATGAGGGGAAAAGCACAGATAATATACTCCATATTTCAAACATAATATTGCTCCTGCATTTCTGAAATTAGAATTAAGGTACTTGCATAGCTTTTTTCCTTATCATAAAACCAATAAAAGCTGCTCAGTGAATATTGAGAGATATAAGAATGCAGAAGTAAGAATAAGTAAGTGAATCGTGTTGTTCTATGCTAAAAAGAGAGAGAGAGAGATTCTCTGTTTCTCATTTATGTTCATGGAAATAAGACATTGATGTAAAATTTTCATCAGCACTTTTATTTCTCTGGTTAGTTTTTTTTATTTATCAAAAAGTTAGCAGCAACTAGTTAAATTCAGAGTAATAATCTGGGTGATTTATGCAGACATTTACATAATCATCCAATTATTATAAATTGACTTAATTGAATGTTGAATGATAGCTAGCATGACTCTTCCTGTGCTCTTACTTAAGACATCCTGGAAATATCTGAACATGCCTTTTCAGTTGATATCTTGGAAGATCAACTGCAAGAAATAAATCTGACTTTGGGAAGAAATGTTATACTAAGGGATCATTAGTCAAAAATTACAAAATCTGGTCAAGACAGCCTAAATTTCACAGCAATACATGCTTTCAGGGCTGCAAGAATAAGAAATGAAATAGAGCTGATGCACAAAAGGGTGGTAATGAACGGGATGGTTGGGAACTAGGTCATTCTGTCTTCACGCAAAGGCTTTGTGAGGAATAACACCTCGTTGTATCTCTGTCCATTCTCTCCAAATTGACTGCTCTGCTTGCACTTGTTCACTTCATACATATTAATTGATTAATTAGCACAAATCTATCTTGTTTAAATTTGTCTTCATTTGCCTTAAGATTGTATTGTTTCCTAATGCTATCTATTTTTTACAGATCTTTCTCAGAAGTCAGCAATAGTAACAGCAGTCAGTCATAGAGTTAAAGGTGAATTGAAAGAATTAAATTATTATTAAAATGACATAATTCGTGAAGTAGTTTGTTTAATAATACTTCACTATAAGAAACTATCATGGCCATATTTCCTCATCCTGAGTCCATTTGTTAATATCGCATTGAAGTACTTGATGTTAACTTTGTTTTATGCTTGAGAAATATTTAATGTTAAGTAATATTTGCCAGAACCTTACTGAGCAGAATTTTTGTAATAAGAAATGACCTTAAATGAATTGTAAATATTTTCTTAAAATATCTATGAATGATCATACCTCCTGCTCACTCATTTAAGGTTCCAGTGGTTCTAATTGGTAGATTTACACACAGTATCTCTTCACATTTATATTCTTCCTCATTAAGACTCCATGGGTATTGTTATCCTCGTTTTAGAAATGAGGAAATAGACATAAAGAATTTAAATGATTTCCCATGAGCATAGAATTTTTATGAGTTTTGGAATTGGGGTTTAACTTAATGCAACTGGTTGCATCCAGAGTTTAAACTTTTAAGAATGTCACAGTCTTAACACACAGAGCCTGATGTATGACTGGGGATATAGAACGGAATTTACATTGATTAAGTACGTATTAAATATCAGACAAAATGTTAAATGCATCCTCCCTTCAAGGCAGAGAGACAATTCTTTATTATAATATGGAATACAATAGGCATCCGTAAATATGGTTCAAAGTTGTAGTTCACATGTGTGAAGAAATAAGGCCTATATCACTGGGAGCAAATGGAAAAATTAAAAATCCAACCAAGAGTAACATCAAAAGTTCATCCAATTACTTATCTGCCATTCCTCCTTATCTGTCTTTGATTTATAGTTAAGTCAATGGGTCTCCATTTCCTCATCTGTCATTAAGCACTGGGGATGAGAAAGACCCAAAGTCCCCAAAATCCTTATTTTAAATTTTAAGAAGCCTATTATGAATTGCATTTCCCTTATCCTGTAAAAAAACAAAAAAACAAAAGCAACATCCAGGATTTCCCAGAGGTAAAGATAGAGCTTTTCAATTCCAGCTGCAAGTCAACTTCATCTTACACGGGCATGTACCTGAAAGAACTATCATTCTTTCAGATATATTTCAGATATATCTGGGCATTACCTTTCCAAACACATTACTGCTCTAATGCAAATTTAAGTCTGGAATGCTTGAGTGACACCAGGAATGTCAGTTTGTCTTGAGCCAAATTAGCAAGAGGGCTGCAGCTGTGATGAGGTCAGAACTCACCTAGCGTCTTGGAGCTCTTGGAGACCATTTGTCATTTACTCCGAGTGAAAGGGAGGCATCGTGGCATAGTTCAGATTCCCAGCACATGACTTATACTTCAAAAGGCTAATTTGTTGAAAATAGTCTGTATGATGGCCAGAGTAGAAGTGCAGATAGATACCCTTGAATGGAGAAACTACTGCAATATCCATGAGACAGTCAGGGGTGGTAAGGATTGTTTTCTGCATAAATTGAAGGCTAACCAACTGAATACATTGACAGTTTGGATGTAGAGTGTAAAAAAAGTACTTAAATAATATGATTATTGATATAAAGCAGGAAGAGAGCAAGACTGAAAATGTAAAACTAGGCCTCTCTGTTTCCAAGGTTCATCTCTTAACAGTTTTTAAAATTCATCCTAAGTTTATAAATATTGAGAGATAAAATCTGCATAGGTTAGCATCAGCCAAGACAAGTGTCTGATATGCCGTGATAAGGAGTTTAAATGTTCTTCTATATGAAGGACATAATATTTTTGAGGTGGTAAGAGACATCTGGTTCCATATGGCTTGTATTTTACAAATTTCACTGGGATAAAGTAGGGAAAATGGATTTTGTCAGAACTGGAGACTAGTGACACAGCTAAGATACTATTAAATGCACAGGAAAGGTATGATGAGGGGCAGGGATGGATGAGAGGAAAAGCACAAAAATGTTCTGAGAGAAATGACAGAGGTAGAATCGACTGGAGTGGTGACTGGGTGGATGTATTTACATTACAGTGAAAGAGAGATCTACAAAGACCTCAACTTTTGGGCAGAATGAATAGTGACAGATTTTACCAAGGACATACAGTATAGTAGGAAAAGAACTAATTTGGGTGGAGGTGAAGAAGCGGAGGGGGAGTGAAGAATGAGTTTGAATTTGACATGGGTATGTAGGAAATGCACAGAGCGTTTTTGAAAGTGCTCTTCCTCTGCAGATAGAAATACACAATTAGTATTAACTGTTTTCTATTTCTTCCACATATTTATATTGTTCTGTTCTTCTCTTTCCTTTCCGTGGTTTTCGTTTGCTCATATGAAGTTTCAAGACTGTGCAAATTAAACGTATAAACATCAATTTGTAATATTTCCATTTAAAGTAGCTATCTTAAACTACTCATGAAATACAAACTTAGAATAACAAATTTCCCAGATCACAGTCACAGATAGCAACAGTATAAACAATGTCTTATTATGTAAATTAAGTGTCATACCTGTAGTTGCATAGTAAATGCAGATAGCTTTTATTAATGATGAAAATTTAGCATTTTAATTTTTCTATATTTCTTCTACAATAGCAATTAAATGATAGTATTGAAAAGCCATAAGATGGAGAAAGGATATCACCAAGAAACTCACTGTAAACTGGCCCGATCCAAGAATGGAAAAAAACCTGTGTTGCTCTCCTTTTGTTGTGGCGAAAAGCTTTCATTTTCACGAGCTAAAATAAAATCCTATGACTGAAAATATGCAAGCTTGTGTCTATCCATTCTTCTACCCACCATGATCTTTTAGTGTGAAATAAGCAGCTTTGCTTCTTTTAACCTCAGAATTTTTGTTACATCCCAAGCTGAAAACCTTCCATCATCCACTGCTGCTGTCTGCTCACAGGTGCCCATGGCCACGCTGACTGCTCCCGGCTCAGCAGAAGACACCGGCAGCCTGCACATACCCAGTCGCTCCTGTTTCCCCTGCCCTGCCTGTCCTGGGCTTGGGAATATTGAGAGGAAGAATTTCTAGATAAGTCCATTCCCAGGGCCCCCAGATAGTCCCTGGCATCTATTTTATCTTAAGGAAATCGATCAAACTGAATTTCTGGTCATATATGCCTGTTCTGTCAGGTATATATGTTTTCTTGGCCATATATAAACTGATATATAGAATATTTATTTGTCTTTTGGGGAAACTCAAAGTTGCTGCACTATCTTAAGTGAAGCTGATGTGTTCTAGGCTTGATTTTCTTACTTCTGTCTCTGTCTTCCCATCTCCCTCTTGCTGGGATGGATGCACTTCTACACATCTCAAAGATTACACATGGGTCAGGGAAACATCAGCCCGTCTGGAGTCTGTTTTGGACCTACAGAGCCCCCATCGAAAAAAAAAATATTCTCATGGAACAAGAGTAGAAGAACCGCACCATAGAGGCCCAGAGTTTCTTTTTCGAAATGTCTATCAAGGGACAAATAGATAAGAAAATGTGGTATATCCAAACAATTGAATAGCAGCCATAAACAGAAATGAATCACTGAAAATGCTATGAAATGGATGGAACTAGAAACCATTATGGTAAGTGAACAAATCCAGTTACAATGACCATGTGTTATTCATTTTCATGAAATGTCCAGAATAGGACTATCTCTGAATTAGTTTCATGGTTGTTTAGGGCTAGGAGAAAATGTAGGGGTTGAAGAACCATGTAGGAGAGAGGTTGATGGCTAAAAGGTAGGGAGTTTCTTTTTGAAATTACGAAACTGATTAAAATTTTATAATGTTTGCACATATGTGTGGACATACTAAAAAAACATTCGATTGCATACTTTAAATGGGTAAATTGTCTGGTATGTGAATTATATCTCAATAAAACTGTTTCAAAAATACAAATTAGGATGATTCCACCACCTATACCTCATCCTGATTGCCACTAACTTATTTGGGGCCATTATGATCAATGTCCTGCCTCATTTTAATAATAATGTCTGATCTATCAGTAGCCCAGGTGCACTCTAGTACCTAGCAGGTCCAATTTTAGTCCAGACCAGAGTTTATTTTTGTAACTGTTAACACAATTCATGCTGGCAATAGGGAATACTGGAGTAAAAGAAGATTTGGGGGAGGGTAGAATAGAAGAGGAGTTAGTTGGACATGTGCATTTGGTAGAAATTCAAGGAGGTGTGCATGCTCTTTCTTCCACTGTGGTGTCCTCTTCTCTTCTTGCTTGCTGCCTCCTCAGCCCCACAGCTTCTTAGCCACTGCTTAGATCTACTGATAATAACTCTAGTGGATTATAATCTAGTAATGTAAGCAAGGTACACAATTGAGTTCAGTATTTCTCTTACTCCATGTGGAATGTTTGAGTGAACTTAGGTTAGATGGGTATATCCTTGCCCCAATCAAAGGCTAGAGACATGCTAGGGTTGGGTATTTGTCTTTTCTTCAAGTTAGTTAGACTCTGCTAAACTCCGGTCATTTAGATTGCGTGATGAAATAATTTCTTTTCATGGAAAGTAAGTTAGGAAAGTCAATGCTTTGGGCATATTTCAAAATGGCTACTTTTCTCTGATCTTCACTATGAGAACTTGATAGGAATCCAGGACGTAAAATTCATAAAAGTGTAAGCCCCTCCCTATGACTGAGCCCCTGTGGATGTTTTCATTCTTAAACTTGTTCACACTAGTCTCCAGCAATTCATGAATTTCAGTTTGTTGTCCTAATCTAGTGGTTCCTGAAAATGTTTCTGTTTGTGGATTTCTGCTCTGGTAAGTTCTGATTTTCTGTATCTGCCAGTCTGTCTCTCCAGTTTTGGGATAGCAGTTTTCCTTGTACCCTCAATTCTCTGATGGCTCTAGAAGGGTTCTGGTTTTCAGTTTCTTTGGCTTTTTTATTGTTATAAGGATGGGTAGTGATTACTTCAAAGCTGCACATATGCCACACTGGAAACTGGAAAACTATAGTAGTTTTTTTTGGGGGGGTTTGTTGTTGATATATTGGTGTTATTCTCATATGTCTGTGAATTTATGTGAGATACATTTGAACTTTTTTATATGTGAAATACAATTAAAATACAGTTTCTTCAATAGTAGTAGACTATTTTGATTCTGTTATTCTTGTGCCACTTTTGTCATTTGAAGTTTTCAAAACTTGTCCATTTTATATAAATCTTCAAAATTTTCAATTTTTTAATATTTTTTCTTATGTCCAAAGCAATAACAGTGTGAAACCCATTTTATTTTCTGATGATGCTAATGGTATTTTATAATGTAAGATACTGGGCTATTAGGATAACGGATGCCTTCCGGCTTATGTTTACTGCTTGCTTGCTAACCGCAGGGCATTATGGGTGCATTATGGGATGCAGAGAAAAAAACACTGAAACCAGAGTCTCTGGGCTAGGACCCGGAACAGGTTAGAGTCTATCAGGGGCAGGATGAAGTAAGAGGCTGAGCAGATGCATGACCGGCAGGGGCCCACAAATCAATGTAGAGGGCAGATGTATGACCAGCGGCGGCCCACAAATCACTGTAGAGGGCAGACCCATGATCAGGACATAAACAATTTAGGTATAAAGTCTCACTCGCACACGGGGCGGGGCGGGGTGTCCCTGCCCAAACATAGGGCCCGTGCTCTTGGGCTTGGACCCTAGCTCGAGCTAGACAATAAAACTCCTTTTGGTAATTGCAGCCTCGGTGACTGTGTCTCTCTGTCCTGCGGCCCTGCAGATTCCGGCTCTAACATTTGGGGGCTTGTCCTGGATTTCCCACAGACCGCTGGATAGAGCTCAGAGCAGAGGAAGGAGTGAAAAGCTCGGAACCCCCGACTAGCAGACTGGCATAGGACCTAGGCGGATGGGCCAGCGGGTCTCCCGGTTGGGGCCAGACAGAGAAGTCCTCTGGCCTCCTTGGAAACCCCACAGCTGACCTTGGAGGTTGAGGCTCAGTCAGAAGGGGACCAGGGAGTTAGGTCCAGACTAGGTGGGTCATTGTTTTCCGTTTGTTCACTGTTGTCCGTTCGTCTGCTCATTTTGTTGTTTGTTCCTCGATTACTCGTGTCACCTGTGCGATTGTGCCAGTCAGTTTGTTTTGTGTCTAGGATTTCTTCTTTTCAGGAATGGAACAAACCCTGACGATGCCGTTGTCTATCCTCGTGAGTCATTTTAAGGATGTGAGGACGAGGGCACAGGACCTGTCCTTGGAGGTTAAAAAGAGGAAGTTTATCACCCTTTGTGAGGCGGAGTGGCCCACGTTTGGGGTGGGATGGCCCAAGGAGGGTTCCTTTGACACCTCCCTCATTGAAAAGGTAAAAGGGTGGCGTTTGGCCACCACGGCCATCCCGACCAAATTCCTTACATTGTGATCTGGCAGGATTTGGTCCAGGACCCACCACCCTGGCTAAGGACACTCCTGCCTGCCCCTAAGGAAAAGGCTAAAATCTTGGTCACCAAGGGAGTGAAGAAGGGCGGGATACTGGCAGGACCCATGACCCGCTGGGCCGCCCTATGTTGGCACAACCCCTATGTTGCCATGCTCCAATCTGTACCCAGTTTTAACAGACTTGGAGTGGAATGCGCCCCCGCTCTATAATGCTGGGGTGGCCCATGTGGCTCCCATGGCCCTGGGGGATGCAGAACCAGCAACAGGGGGACCAGCGGACTGGACGGACTCCAGATCCGGAGCTTATGAGGGCACTCCCCCTGAGAGCAGCGGGACCCACTGGACCAGATGGGAAGCAGGCATACCACTACTGGCCCTTCTCCACTAGTGACCTCTACAATTGGAAATCCCAAAATGCAAATTTTTCTGAAAGTCTGAGGGATTTAATTAACCTTTTAGACTCTGTCCTCTTCACTCACCAGCCCACTTGGGATGACTGTCAACAGTTGCTTAAGGTATTTTTTATAACTGAAGAGAGAGAGAGGATCCAAGTGGAAGCACGAAAGCTGGTTCCAGGAGAGGACAGCAGACCCACCGTCAATCCCCGGGTCATCAACCAGACCTTTCCTATTGAACGGCCTCCCTGGGATTACAATGATGTTGAAGGTAGGGAGTGTGTCCAGGTCTACCGCCAGACTCTGATGGCCGGTCTCTGGGCATCAGCACGGAAGCCAACCACTTTTGTTAAGGTAGGAGTTGTTCGTCAGGGGCCAGAGGAGAGCCCATCCACATATCTAGAGAGGATCATGGAGGCTTTTCAGCAGTATACTCCCATAGATCCTACTGCAGAAGGGAGCAAGGCAGCTGATATGATGGCCTTTGTTAACCAGGCAGCCCCAGACACCAGGCGTAAGGTGCAGAAGATAGATAGGTTATGTGACAAAACTCTGCAAGACTTCCTGGAAGTGGCAGAGAAAGTTTACAACAATAGAGAGATCCCTGAGGAAAAGTTATAAAGGATGAGGCTAGAGGAAAGGGAGTTCCAGGCAGGTGAAGCATGTAAAGCAAACAGAGACATGGCCAAGATCCTACTCGCAGCTACGGGAGGAGGTCAGCTAGGGGCAAGAGGCCGAGAGTGACCCTGGAGGGAGAGGCTAGGCAAGGATCTGTGTGTCATTTGCAAGGAGCATGGACAGTGGGCTAGGGACTGCCCCCAAAAGAAGGGGGGAATATAGAGCTGGATCCTCTGAGAAGGTTGTGTTGCTGGGGCAAGTAAAGGATAAATAGGGGGGACGGGGTTTGTTTCTCCTCCCCAAGCCCAGGGTAACTTTACAAGTGGACGGGAGTCCAGTCAGCTTCCTGGTAGACATGGGGACAGAACATTCAGTGATTACTGAGACCACTGGAAAACTGTCTAACAAGACTAGCTGGGTGCAGTGGGCAACTGGAACCAACCCCTACCCTTGGACTACCTGACGAAAGTTGGACTTAAGCTCAGGGGAAGTGAGTCATGCTTTCAAGGTCATTCCAGAGTGCCCCACCCCATTATTGGGGAGAGACATACTCACAGAATTAAAGGTCCATATTTACTTTGAAGAAAAAGGAATAGTAATAACTGATGATAAAGGCAATCTTATTAGCAGCCCCCGGGTCACTCGAATGTTGACCTTGACAAAGGCAGATGAGTATAGACTGTACCTGGCCGTGATGGGGCAGAAAAGGACATGGAGCACTAGCTCCATGAATTTCCCAAAGCCTGGGCTGAAGCGGGGTGCAGGGTGGGCAAAGCATCGGCCACCTCTCTATATTGAGTTAAAACCAAGGGCTGAGCCAGCTCGAGTTAGGCTATACCCCATGCCCCAGGAGGCCAGAGTGGGAATAGTGCCCCACATTCAAAGGGGCTGTACCGGGATTCGCCGAAGGTGCCAGTCATCCTGGAATACTCCTTTGTTACCAGTAAAGAAATCGATGGAAAGGATTATCGGCCTGTGCAGGACCTCAGGAAGGTCAATGCACGTGCCCTAGACATCCACTCTACAGTTCCAAACCCCTACACCCTACTAAGCTCCTTTCTTCCAACGGGGATTTGGTACACTGTCCTAGATTTAAAGGATACCTTTTTCAGCCTAGCCGTGGCCCGGTGCAGCCAAAAAATATTTGCCTTTGAGTGACAGGATGAGGAGAGGGGAATCCAGGGGCAGTTGACATGGACAGGGCTTCCCCAGGGGTTCAATAACTCACCCACTTTGTTCAAGGAGGCCCTCCATGACAACTTGGGAGAGTACCGTGGCAACCACCAAGAGGTGACCCTGCTGCAGTATGTGGATGATTTGCTACTAGCTGCACTAAACCCTCAGACCTGCCTGGAGGGCACCAAAGACCTACTCGAGGCACTGGGTGAAATGGGATATCGAGCTAGTGCTAAAATGGCCCGAATTTGCAAAGATGAAGTTACCTATCTGGGCTATAAGATCAAGGGAGGCCAAAGGTGGCTAACCGAGGCAATGAAACAGACTGTGCTAGGGATACCCACCCCGACCTCATGTCTTCTTAAGCACTGCCCTGTAGATCTACTGATAATAACTCTAGTGGATTATAATCTAGTAATGTAAGCAAGGTACACAATTGAGTTCAGTATTTCTCTTACTCCATGTGGAATGTTTGAGTGAACTTAGGTTAGATGGGTATATCCTGCCCCTAATCAAAGGCTAGAGAACATGCTAGGGTTGGGTATTTGTCTTTCTTCAAGTTAGTTAGACTCTGCTAAAACTCCGGTCATTTAGATTGCGGTGAAATAATTCTTTTTCATGGAAAGTAAGTTAGGAAAGTCAATGCTTTGGGCATATTTCAAAATGGCTACTTTTCTCTGATCTTCACTATGAGAACTTGATAGGAATCCAGGACGTAAAATTCATAAAAGTGTAAGCCCCTCCCTATGACTGAGCCCCTGTGGATGTTTTCATTCTTAAACTTGTTCACACTAGTCTCCAGCAATTCATGAATTTCAGTTTGTTGTCCTAATCTAGTGGTTCCTGAAAATGTTTCTGTTTGTGGATTTCTGCTCTGTAAGTTCTGATTTTCTGTATCTGCCAGTCTGTCTCTCCAGTTTTGGGATAGCAGTTTCCTTGTACCCTCAATTCTCTGATGGCTCTAGAAAGGGTTTCTGGTTTCAGTTTCTTTGGCTTTTTATTGTTATGTATAAGATGGTAGTGATTACTTCAAAGCTGCACATATGCCACACTGGAAACTGGAAACCTATAGTAGTTTTTTTTGGGGGGGGTTTGTTGTTTGATATATTGGTTGTTATTCTCATATGTCTGGTGAATTTATTGTGAGATACATTTGAACTTTTTTATATGTGAAAATACAATTAAAATACAGTTTCTTCAATAGTAGTAGGACTATTTATGATTCGTTTATTCTTGTGCCACTTTTGTCATTTGAAGTTTTCAAAAACTTGTCCATTTTATATAAATCTTCAAAATTTTCAATTTTTTAAATATTTTCTTATGTCCAAAGCAATAACAGTGTGAAACCCATTTTATTTTCTGATGATGCTAATGGTATTTTATAATGTAAGATACTGGGCTATTAGGATAACGGATGCCTTCCGGCTTATGTTTACTGCTTGCTTGCTAACCGCAGGGCATTATGGGTGCATTATGGGATGCAGAGAAAAAATACTGAAACCAGAGTCTCTCGGCTAGGACCCGGAACAGGTTAGAGTCTTCAGGGGCAGGATGAAGTAAGAGGCTGAGCAGATGCATGACCAGCAGGGGCCCACAAATCATGTAGAGGGCAGATGCATGACCAGCAGGGCCCACAAATCACTGTAGAGGGCAGACACGTGATCAGGACATAACAATTTAGGTATAAAGTCTCACTCGCACACGGAGGGTGGCGGTGTCCCTGCACAAACATAGGCCCGTGCTCTTGGGCTTGGACCCTAACTCGAGCTAGACAATAAAACTCCTTTGGTAATTACAGCCTCGGTGACTTGTCTTTCTGTCCTCGGCCTGCAGATTCCGGCTCTAACATTTTGGGGCTGTCCTGGATTTCCCACAGACCGCGGATAGAGCTCAGAGCAGAGGAAGGAGTAAAAGCTCAGAACCCCCGATAGCAGACTGGCATAGGACTTAGGCGTGGATGAGCCAGCGGGTCTCCCGGTTGGGTCAGACGCGAGAAGTCCTCTGCCTCCTTGGAAACACCCACAGCTGACCTTGGACGTTGAGGCTCAGTCAGAAGGGACCAGGGAGTTAGGTCCAGACTAGGTGGTCATTGTTTTCCGTTTGTTCACTGTTGTCCGTTCGTCTGCTCATTTTGTTGTTTGTTCCTCGATTACTCGTGTCACCTGTGGATTGTGCGAGTCAGTTTGTTTTGTGTCTAGATTTCTTCTTTTCAGGAATGGAACAAACCCTGACGATGCCGTTGTCTATCCTCGTGAGTCACTTTAAGGATGTGAGGACGGAGGGACACAGACCTGTCCTTGGAGGTAAAAAGAGAAGTTTATCACCCTTTGTGAGGCGGAGTGGCCCAGTTTGGGGTGGGATGGCCCAAGGAGGGTTCCTTTGACACCTCCTCATCGAAAAGGTAAAAGGGGTGGCGTTGGCACCACGCCATCCCGACCAAATTCCTTACATTGTGATCTGGCAGGATTTGGTCCAGGACCCACCACCCTGGCTAAGGACACTCCTGCCTGCCCTAAGGAAAAGGCACATAATATTTTTGAGGTGGTAAGAGACATCTGGTTCCATATGGCTTGTATTTTACAAATTTCACTGGGATAAAGTAGGGAAAATGGATTTTGTCAGAACTGGAGACTAGTGACACAGCTAAGATACTATTAAATGCACAGGAAAGGTATGATGAGGGCAGGGATGGATGAGAGGAAAAGCACAAAAATGTTCTGAGAGAAATGACAGAGGTAGAATCGACTGGAGTGGTGACTGGGTGGATGTATTTACATTACAGTGAAAGAGAGATCTACAAAGACCTCAACTTTTGGGCAGAATGAATAGTGACAGATTTTACCAAGGACATACAGTATAGTAGGAAAAGAACTAATTTGGGTGGAGGTGAAGAAGCGGAGGGGAGTGAAGAATGAGTTTGAATTTGACATGGGTATGTAGGAAATGCACAGAGCGTTTTTGAAAGTGCTCTTCCTCTGCAGATAGAAATACACAATTAGTATTAACTGTTTTCTATTTCTTCCACATATTTATATTGTTCTGTTCTTCTCTTTCCTTTCCGTGGTTTTCGTTTGCTCATATGAAGTTTCAAGACTGTGCAAATTAAACGTATAAACATCAATTTGTAATATTTCCATTTAAAGTAGCTATCTTAAACTACTCATGAAATACAAACTTAGAATAACAAATTTCCCAGATCACAGTCACAGATAGCAACAGTATAAACAATGTCTTATTATGTAAATTAAGTGTCATACCTGTAGTTGCATAGTAAATGCAGATAGCTTTTATTAATGATGAAAATTTAGCATTTTAATTTTTCTATATTTCTTCTACAATAGCAATTAAATGATAGTATTGAAAAGCCATAAGATGGAGAAAGGATATCACCAAGAAACTCACTGTAAAGTGGCCCCATCCAAGAATGGAAAAAAACCTGTGTTGCTTTCCTTTTGTTGTGGCGAAAAGCTTTCATTTTCACGAGCTAAAATAAAATCCTATGACTGAAAATATGCAAGCTTGTGTCTATCCATTCTTCTACCCACCATGATCTTTTAGTGTGAAATAAGCAGCTTTGCTTCTTTTAACCTCAGAATTTTTGTTACATCCCAAGCTGAAAACCTTCCATCATCCACTGCTGCTGTCTGCTCACAGGTGCCCATGGCCACGCTGACTGCTCCCGGCTCAGCAGAAGACACCGGCAGCCTGCACATACCCAGTCGCTCCTGTTTCCCCTGCCCTGCCTGTCCTGGGCTTGGGAATATTGAGAGGAAGAATTTCTAGATAAGTCCATTCCCAGGGCCCCCAGATAGTCCCTGGCATCTATTTTATCTTAAGGAAATCGATCAAACTGAATTTCTGGTCATATATGCCTGTTCTGTCAGGTATATATGTTTTCTTGGCCATATATAAACTGATATATAGAATATTTATTTGTCTTTTGGGGAAACTCAAAGTTGCTGCACTATCTTAAGTGAAGCTGATGTGTTCTAGGCTTGATTTTCTTACTTCTGTCTCTGTCTTCCCATCTCCCTCTTGCTGGGATGGATGCACTTCTACACATCTCAAAGATTACACATGGGTCAGGGAAACATCAGCCCGTCTGGAGTCTGTTTTGGACCTACAGAGCCCCCATCGAAAAAAAAAATATTCTCGTGGAACAAGAGTAGAAGAACCGCACCATAGAGGCCCAGAGTTTCTTTTTCGAAATGTCTATCAAGGGACGAATAGATAAGAAAATGTGGTATATCCAAACAATTGAATAGCAGCCATAAACAGAAATGAATCACTGAAAATGCTATGAAATGGATGGAACTAGAAACCATTATGGTAAGTGAACAAATCCAGTTACAATGACCATGTGTTATTCATTTTCATGAAATGTCCAGAATAGGACTATCTCTGAAGACGAGAATTAGTTTCATGGTTGTTTAGGGCTAGGAGAGAATGTAGGGGTTGAAGAACCACGTAGGAGAGAGGTTGATGGCTAAAAGGTAGGGAGTTTCTTTTTGAAATTACGAAACTGATTAAAATTTTATAATGTTTGCACATATGTGTGGACATACTAAAAAAACATTCGATTGCATACTTTAAATGGGTAAATTGTCTGGTATGTGAATTATATCTCAATAAAACTGTTTCAAAAATACAAATTAGGATGATTCCACCACCTATACCTCATCCTGATTGCCACTAACTTATTTGGGGCCATTATGATCAATGTCCTGCCTCATTTTAATAATAATGTCTGATCTATCAGTAGCCCAGGTGCACTCTAGTACCTAGCAGGTCCAAATTTTAGTCCAGACCAGAGTTTATTTTTGTAACTGTTAACACAATTCATGCTGGCAATAGGGAATACTGGAGTAAAAGAAGATTTGGGGGAGAGGTAGAATAGAAGAGGAGTTAGGTTTTGGACATGTGCATATTTGGTAGAAAGTTCAAGGAGGTGGTTGCATGCTCTTTCTTCCACTGTGGTGTCCTCTCTCCTCTTGCCTTGCTGCCCTCCTCAGCCCCACAGCTTCTTAGCCACTGCTTAGATCTACTGATAATAACTCTAGTGGATTATAATCTAGTAATGTAAGCAAGGTACACAATTGAGTTCAGTATTTCTCTTACTCCATGTGGAATGTTTGAGTGAACTTAGGTTAGATGGGTATATCCTGCCCCTAATCAAAGGCTAGAGAACATGCTAGGGTTGGGTATTTGTCTTTCTTCAAGTTAGTTAGACTCTGCTAAAACTCCGGTCATTTAGATTGCGGTGAAATAATTTCTTTTCATGGAAAGTAAGTTAGGAAAGTCAATGCTTTGGGCATATTTCAAAATGGCTACTTTTCTCTGATCT